CCTTCCCAAAGGAGGAAAGTCTTTATCTTCTACAAGCTGTAAAATTCAACTCAACATGGGTTGTCTTCAGAATTTAATTTTTTTTTTTTTTGTTTAAAACCCTAATTGAAAAATATTTATAGGGATAATTTTGGCAGCCACATGAAAATAAAAAGGTGATAAGCATGATTAAGCATATTTTTGCAATCATCTAATGAGTGAAGTAGTACTATAACTTTCAAAATTTTCAGCTGCCCACCTTTTACTTTTCACATTTAGATTATCAATAAAAAAAAGGCACAGGCGGCCAATGCTTTAATTTCTTCTTCCTACATCTTAATTTGTCTTCTTTCGATTTCTCTTAGATTCTTTACTTCTAACAATGAAATTGCTACAATTACTAAAAGGGGAAAAAGAAAAAGAAAAGCTACTATAAATGCATTTAAATTTATGCCTACTTTTAACATCTTGAATAATTTTTAAAGAAATTGCCCATGTAATGTCATTCAATATCTATAACTTTCGACCTCAAGAGGTTGGCGTGATAGTAAAAAATATCTGCTCTCTTCTAGGGGCGGATCCAGTTAATTTTTTTTTTTAAATACTAATATATGGGTGCATTTGGTTCAGTATTTATATTAGTATTTTCAATCTTATTTCCCAAATATTGTTTAACACATTATTTTAGAAATATTACTATATTTTTTTATTACTTTTAGACCCCTTAAGCTTATTAATTTCATTAAATACCCCCCAAAAAAGTTTAAAAATTAACAAAAACACCCCTATCAACCCATGCTTGCCAAATTCTGTACAACAGCCTACCTGCCGACCAAAAATGGCCGACAGTTCACCGATCTGGCCAAAAAAGGCCAGATTTGACGGCCAAATCTTGGCCATCGTTGACCGAAAACGATGGCCATATCGCTGACGGCCAAAGATGGACTTCTTTGGCCTTTTCTGGCCAGATCTGTGGTGGATCTTACGACACAGATCCGACCGGTCTGTGTCGTAACAAAATTTTTTGGGACCAGAATCTAGCATTGCGGGTGGTGGGGGTGTTTTTGTCATTTTATATATTAAAGTCTTTAATTAAATTAGCAAACCTAAGGCCTTTTTCATAAATTTTTAAAGTTTACCTCGTAATACTCCCCTATCCAACTACCCAATATTATTCCTAAAATCCTATCCAAAATAATAAACCAAATGCACCCATAATTTTTGGATTTTGGCCCACCCTAACAAAAATATTAATATGTAATTAGTTTTTATTTTAGCCCACCCTAAAAAAAATTTATGGATCCGCTAATGCTCTCTTCTTTGAGTTCTTTGGTTTAAATCTTGGGATCATCTACCACAATAATATTGTAGCTTATATAGTTATCTGGGTTTGTAAGATGTTCAATGAACGTTGGGAATTAGTTGATATTAGCCCAAACTGGGTTGGACACCCTTTTTACCAAAAAAAAAATACTTGCCAAAAATATATATATTTTGTTATTCAATCAAAACTTGGAGATTAGTTATTTGATAAATTTTGTGTTTGCATTTGATATTTTTAATATATAATATTGTACTATCTCCTTTTGTAATATATTTTACAAATTTTATATTATGAATTCAAATGGATGAAAATAATTTGATTATATTTTATTAAAAGCGAAAAAAAACAAAAATCATGGCTATGTCTACCTTATCTTAGAAAAGATAAGAAGGGCCCATTCGCAGTGGTGAGGGTGCATCCAAAACGCTCAGATCAAAGCCACGTGGCACAAGTTGGTGTTACTGATGACTTGTTTGTTTCACAGCACTCCAACAAAAAGCTGCACCTGTTTCCCAATGAAGGGGCAGAGGCGGGTGGCGCGTGGGCCTTACATTCCACTTGTCATCTGAAATCAAGTTCAATCCCACTTTCGATTTGTTATTTGACTTATGCACAATCTAAATTACAGGACCCATCAGTTTGATGATTCATCACCCCCACTTTTTGTCCTCTGTTTGGTTGCCACGTGTTACCTTAGGGTTATCCATGCAATTCTAAATGAAATATGTTAAATAAATTACTGATTTTATAAATTTTATTCAATAATTCATCATATAAAATGTTTGAAATTAAATCTAAATTATATTTTTATTGTATAATTAATATTTGTTATGAATTTCGAGAAAGTCAATGGCTTAAATATATGATTGAGTCAACATGAAGTAATTAAATAAAAAAGATGTGAAGGTGGAGGACACAATTAATTGTTTGTCGTTCTCTTCAGAGAAAATAATCAGTTCAAAGAGTGAATAATAATTTCTCTTGATTAATATAATAATTCTTAGAATTGACAATTTTAAAAGCAAATATTATTTCGTAGCTACCAATTATCTTTCATAATATCACCATACAAAACAAACCAACTTTCATCATTTTTTTTTTTTTTTTAGTAATTAATTTTATTTTTTATTATAAGAAATATAAAGAAAATGTTGAAGGGTGAAAGTAGGTATAAATTATAATAAAACAGTAGTAGAGTGCTTACGGCACAATCTTCAGTTAAAATTTGTATCGTTAAATGAAATATTAAAAATAAAATATTAAGTAAAAGGGTAGTTGAGGATGTGAGATGATTCGGAAACCTCGTGCATGCAAACAGAAACTAGTAATATCAATAAATTAATTAACCTTGATGTAATTAAAATACAAACATACAAGAACATAAAAGTGATTCTGGGGGTTTTAAAAAAATCGAAAGGTGCAGTGGGAAAAGTGCTTTTTTAGGTTCCCCTTGCATATGAAACAAACATCTAAAAGAAGAGACACAGCCAATTAAAGTTGCAGAAATTTGTTTGAGTGTCACAGTTCGTTGTCGTTTTGCTTACCACGTGAGGGCCACCCATTTTTCTTACTTGTTAAATGTTCCTTCACCCAACTTTATCATGTCGACGTCTATATATTTCATTGAATCAAATTAATTAAGTACAAAATTATGAAAATAAGCTAATGAACCAACAAGTCAGTGAATAAATAAGCTAAATGAGGAAATAAAATAAATCATAAAATAGTAAGTTAATGAATAAAAATTAGTACAAATAAACAAGTGAATAAATACATTATTATAAATACACAAGTTAGTTATGAATAAACTAATGAACAAATATAAGTTGCAAATAAATAAGTTAACTTACATAAATTATTTAACTTATTTATTTATATATAGATTAATAAATATATAAATATATGAAACCCGTGTGTGTATGTTTGTGCTTTATGAACAATTTTACCCTTGTCCATGATTCCTTTCATTAGAGGAAGTAAAAGAAGAAAATGCCCGTATCTATAAATGATTTTAAGATAATACTATGTTTCTTACAAACGCAACGTAATAACTTACAATTGAACTATTATTTCGCATTTGTGAAAAAAAAGTTAATGCAAAGAGTTTATCAACTTATCTTTATTGATGGTTTTAAATACACAAATGAAGACGAGTTAAGAACTCTCTTGGAAGAACAAGATTACAAGCAATGTTTTAAAACCCAACCTGGGGTGAAAACCCGGCAAAGTTGTCAGGTCTCGAGTTGACGGTTAAACCGGTTGATAAAAACTTTTAAAATTCAGCAAATGCACCCCTAAAAATTATAGTTAAGTCCTTATAGATTTGAAATTTGGCAAACATACCCTAAATACAAATCGGCCAGCGATTGATTGGCGGCGGCGACACCCCAGATGCAACCCCAATCGTCCCTTGAGCCCATTCCCCCTAAAATATACCCAAGATCTGACCGAAATAGGTTCAATTTTAGTCAGATCTCACCGACGTTGACATCGGCATTCCAGGCCAAATTTCACCGACACTGACATCAACAACCCTCCCGACCAAAACCCATCTCACCCCACCTCCGTTAGCCTCGCCAATCGCCAGTAAAAGCCGATTGTTGTTGCTGCTAGTTTTGTTCGATTTTCGGTCGATTTACTCACCGGAAATCAACTTCATCATCACTATTGCATTCACCGGCACTTTCTCTTCAAAAGTCCCAACATCTCGACCGTCAATTGTTTGCCGATCATCCTCCCAAATCTTAGGGTTTTGGGTGAATAGGAAAAATATAAACCTAGCCCGTTAAAACTTTCGAATCTCGGTTGAACCAGTTAAATCGGCCGAGTTTTAAAACATTGATTACAAGTACAAACTCTGTTACAAAGAAAGTTCGTACATGGCATGTCATGTGACATGTAGGCTCACATAACACATAATATTAAGTAGAGGTGTTCAAAAAAACCGATTGGAACCGGAACTGGTAGGTACCGGGGGTTTGGTTCTGATTCCTACCCACAACCAACTGTTAATAGATAGGTTCCGATACCAAATTTTTGGAACCGTTACTGTGTAGTTCCAGTTCCGGTTTCTATGGTTAGGAACCGAAGCCGAAACTAATATAAAATAAAATTAAGGAATATGAGAGTTAATAAAAACTTTTGTATAAAAAGTAATATGAATACATTTATATTTATATTTCATAACATTTAAAAAAAAATTAGTTTTGACTTTTGAGAATCTACCTTTACAAAGTAATTGAGTTTGTAATTTTGAATTTTGAATTTATATTTTGTAATTTTATTTTTATTAACAAGTGCCAGATAAAGGGTATTTGTAAGTTTTTAAGGTTTTTTGGCCATCTTAAAATCTTTTGTGGGGTAACATAATTTTACAGGGTACCCAGAACCAGAATCATCAGTTCCAATTTCGATTCCAAATTTCAAAGAACCATAGATTCCGATTTCGATTCTTTCAAAAAATGTAAGATACTCAGAACCGAACCACCCTAATATTAAGTAATATGGATCCCATGCGACATGACATTGACATGCATGTCACATGAGTTTGTATAAACTCTCTTTCTAAGTGAGTTACAAAAGGACAAATAGCTGTTTCCATTAAGAAAACAAAAGGGAGAAAAAAAAAAAATGGGTCTAAATTTCAACGAGTTTTCTGAATCCATCTAAACAATTGGCATTTGCCACAAGCAACTTATTGATTTATACTAAAACTAGGTAAATAAATTTATTTGTTCAGCAGCGTGTTTCAAATACATCAGAGTACATGGAATTGTTGATGAAGTCAAAAGATATACATGTATATCGATCAAAGAAGAAAGAATAAGGATTGAGCTAATAAGCTGAAGAATATTATCGAATACATCAAATTCAAATATACATGTAAATTGCCTACGAAATAATTAAGACCTGTACAATGCACACCTGAAATTGAATTTCTGGGGCAGCAGCATCAATTCTGATGGACTCAGGTTATTTGAGATGCACTCGGTGAGCACACCAGACTACGGTAATCTGCAGTCAAAATCATCGGTGGCTATTGAGGACTTCCTCTTACAGTGCGCGTGTATTAACTTATACGCAGCCTTGTTGAAAATTTTCAAAATTATGTAAGAAAAAATTCGGCCTGCAGTAAACCAAGCAAGGTTCACTAAGACACGATAGAAATTGAGTATTGTCCAACACCTAAAAAGCATTAATTATTTATCTTAACCAAAGCCATAAACTGTTACAGTCAGGGATTACCTAATCATTAAAGAAGGCAGGACTAAAAGGTACAAAAGTTTGACTAATTCCCTGGCTGTGACAAAGACACACTTGGAATTGATGCCTGTAGTCCTTGTTTTCCATGTATGGCAGATTTGAGTACATTGTATTGTTCATTCACAGAATCATACAGTGCCTGTGTATAAGCTTCTCTAGCCTGCCACAGCAACAGTACAAATGATCAAAATGGATGGTGATCTGTGACAAATATATAACAACATGTGTGATGCAGATATGTCTAAACTTACAGTGATTTGATAATTAATATTATGTTCATGTTTATACATGTGTGTGTGAGCATCGTTTGTAAATATGTATCCTTGTTTTTCAAAAGAAGGGAAAAATTAGATTTGTAACTTCACAAAACAACAAAAATTTAAATCAAAATGTATATTTATCAGGTCCTGTTTAAACCACAGAGGTGCAAGGTCAATGCGCTTAAGTAACCAACCTCTTCAGGATTTTCAAAAGCAGAAGCAATATCTGAGAAGCTGATTTCTGGTGCCACTGATAATCCAACCCCAGAGAAGGATACCACCCTTCTCTCTCCAATTTCTTTTTCTACCTAGAAAAATGCAATCGAGTTACAAGAGCAGAAACAGTATTGAAAAAAAAGGATAACATGTAAAAGAGCAAGGGCATACCTGGCGTGGAGGGGGCATAACATCATAACACAATAGGGCTAAGGGATATATATGTCCTGGAGCACCAGAATGTTCTGCAAGCCTTCTCATATTGTCCACTGCAGAAGCATCAAAGGGTGCCTGACCCCCTTATCTCAGTAGGAACGAAAATAATGGCATAAAGAAAGATAAAGACGACATTCAATAAAATGTTAATGATTTAGATTACTCTGTCACTAATGAGCACATATTGTAGGTAACAACTCATTTGATGCTATAAACAGCAAGAGTATTGGTGCCCAACATAAACAAACAGCCAAAAGCAACAGAAATCACTATGGTTATCCATTGAATAAACAAAAAATTGCACTGCATAAGCTTTCACCTTTTTATAAAACCCACAAAGATGTTATCAAACAGACTCTTTAGCAACTTGAACTTGTAGGATAAAAGGGTACAGAAGCTTACTGGATGCCATTCTTCAGTAACAGGATCTGGACGATCTCTACCACCACTTGGAGCTATCCATACTATTTGTGACCCACCCCTGGAGTCAAACATATTCAATCACTCTGTAGCAACTACCAAGTATGGATAATCTTTATGTAAATATAGACAGATAGACATGATAAGAAACAAGTAAATAAATCAGTGAAGGATATTACAAGCAAGTGAACCAGCAATCCACGAATAGAAATAAGAAAAAAAGAAATCACCACAAGATCACTGAAATATTTTACAATACTAATGATAGAAGAATTCCATGACAAACTGTATAATCTACAAACTGATGCAACAAATAACAATTATGGAAACCAAACAAAAAACTTAGAGAAAAGGGAGAGTGATTTGCAAAGAAATTATAATTGAAATTCTTGATATTCATTAACAATCAAGTATCATAAAGTACTGATTAGAAACAAATACATCTCAATTAGAAAATAGAAATCCACCAAAATACAAAAACTTACTCCAACTTAAATCAAGGAATTAGATTAGGTATTAGATCCTATAAATAGGAAATAAATCCTAAGTCCTATGACTACACCTAAAATAAGTGAATATATCTCTATGATGGCCTAATTCACACTAATTACATGTTTGATAATTTACTCAACTTCAAAGAGTCAAAGAAAAAAGAATGCTACAAAGGCTACTGCACATCACAGAAAAAGGAACAGAGGAAAAAACAATGTGAGAAATGACAAAATGCTTAAGAACTAACATTTCACTATTCAAAAACTCTGGGATAGAAATGAGGAATACAGGTACAAGTAACCGGATAAGCCACACTAAAAACCACCGGACAGGTCCCAAGTTTTGGTCAGAGAAACATAAAAGACAGATAAAGGTACCTTAAAAGCAAAGCCATCTCTTTCAAACTTCGTGTATTAGCTTTCCTTTTCATCTCAATAAGCTCAGGGGCATCCAACATGTGTTTCTTTGAGTATACACATATTAAATTCCTAGATCATACAAAATAGAAATTCATATGACTATTGTTAGTCAGTAATTAGGCATACTACAGTGCAAACACTGTCAAAAAAATGTTATAATACAAGTACCTTCCCATGCTGAAGGGCTTGCAAAGAGGATCAGTTAAAACTCTGTCCCCTGCTACATAGATCTGCGGTAACATAGGTAAAATTTGGTTACCAGCATTTTAAAGATAAATAAAAACTATTTACAGTAGGCTGGGACTAAAAAATGTTTGGTTCACCAGGTTCTCTGCAATACGGGTGTTTGCTGATTCGAGCAACAAAGCAATGACAGCTGGGTCTGCTTCACTTTGGTGGTTAGAGATCAATACAATATTGTGGCCCTGAAATCAATTGTACATAAGTATTAAATACATCTAAGTTACTGGGAGATCTCTAGTTGAAAGGACAAACAATGAGTACAACAGGACTAATAACTACTAAATTCAAGGACAAACAATTTATATTATTTCTGCAACAAACAGGAGGAGGTTTCATTCAACAATTAGGAAGAATGAATCATCAAACCAAATTCAATGGTGTTTAAAAGTCAGTGCCAAAAACCCAATAACAGAAAATAGAAATAGGCACTAATTATGGGTACCTGCTGAAGCTTCTGTTCCATTTCATAGAAAAGGGAGATGTTGCCAACATATGAATTGCTGCAAAAAGATTATAACATTTATTCGACAGCAACAGAAAAAAGAAAAGGGAGTAAGATATAAACTGTAGATTATAATATTGCTGTTGCTAGCCACTCTAGGAACTAAATTGCATTCACAGTACCATAGGAAATTAACCCAGCAGGAAGTAGGTTTGGAATGAATTTAGGAAAGAACACTTTAATTAAAGCAGTCACTTACAAAAAGAACAAACATGCTATTTCACTTGTTATTGAAAAATAATTTCATAATTTCAGATCATACAAAGTTTTTCCATACAAATTTATACCAAAGTACATAACGTGTAAGGATAAAATAGAAGACTCTTAGACTCACCTGAAATCAATCAAAGGGCGTATATAATTTTGACCAAATATGTAATAGTCAAATGGCTCTCTCAATGCTTTGTGATATGGTGGGAACTCAAACGGCTCCTGAAATATTATCGTTATACAGATAGAATGTTCATAGACGAGGTTTAAATAAAACAAATAGCAGCTATCCAGATATTAGAAGAAAGAAAGTGCCTATACATGACATAGTAATGGACATCTTGATGTAGCAATCTCAATTACCTCCATATCTAAAAGTACACGATCAAATAACACAGCCATGTTTGACAATACAAGCTCATCAGCCCCAGGCTTTCCACTGCTGAAAACCTGAAAAGTATTGTATGCAACATTAACTTGATAGCAAATCATAATAAGCCAGAAAAGTTTAAGCAATATCAGAAGATAAGATAATACCCTAGATGAGTAAAATCTTCTTTGTCCACATAAAAGTTATCTACAATGAATCCTACAGTCAATTGCAAGTGTTCTTCAACATTTCAGAAGTTTCAGGTAATGGGTAAAGAACAAACCCAGAATATAAGTATCCAAAAAGATTGAAATCTTTAAGCGACACAACATATCAGGAACATGTAGTCTCATCAAACTTTTGCAGGGTAATATGTTTCTTTTACTTACAACTCAAATTTGCCCCAAGATAACTTTCTAAGCATATATTTAGTATTTACCCTTCTTGTCTTCTAGGTCAATTTTTATATTCATATCCAAACTGAGTTCTAATTGGACTAAAAAAATAATGAAGAATCATTAAGAGCTTACAGCATGTTAACATGTATATCATATAAAAGAAGGTGAGCTTCCAATCACTTATTCCATTATTTAAGGCATAAAATGCGGGTCACAATTTTGTTACAGCAAAGCAAACAATAAGCATCAAATTTCCAGTAAGGCCAACTAACAAACAAAATTTTTTCACATCAGTTGTATGTTATAAAACAATTTTAAAGGAGGGTAACCAAAAAACAGAGAGATACTGAAATCATAGAATGAGCATAAACATCAAGTAAATCTAGAACATCAAAATCCAGCGATGAGACATTAATGGAAGAAGTTTCATGCAAACAGCATCTCAAATTTGAAGGTTTTACATATGTTAAACCAGTAAACCGCTTAATTGCTCATTTAACTTTTTACATAATAGATCTAAATTTTTTAATCAATCGACAGATGATACTTTGTAATAACAGGGAGCAATATTTGATTGATTTGCAGTATTGTACATATAGTATCATGTAAAGTTACTTTAATGGTATTTTAGAAGCTCATTACGTGTCAAGAGCAACCAATGAACTTTACAGATTGTCACATTTCTGAAAAAAGGCACTATAATATTATTTTTGAAGTTTCTAGTGACTACTTTGGCAGAGTTAAATACTAAATGTTATTATCTTTATTTTAGCCATTTTTTATTTCGTGGTTCCAACTTGCATATCATAAGTAATTTGGACACATAAACTGAACAAAGAAAATTATACTCTATCAGGGGAATGGGAAAAAGGCACATTAACTATTCATTCCAAAAACAATGAATACATTTAGAATATACATGAATATGTACATTAAAGCAAAGGTTCAAGTATATTTATTTACTGCATTTTTATAATTGTGATACAACTCTTCCATCAATGCTGCAAGATTTGAAGACAACCTTCCTGCTTCAGCTTCCTTGCTAATTCCAGATAAGAGCTCTGCAGAGTAAAGATTAATATAGACTACTGCAATAAAAAATAAATAAAAATATTTCTCACAGCAACATAGCATGTTGTTCCATTTATCTTATGGAGTTCTTAAGTCTCTCTTCCATTGTCTAGCTATTGTGTTTCTTAAATCAATTATATGTTCAACATTAACTCTTAAAATGACTGAAAATCATACTTCCAAAGAAGATGGCCCTGAATCCTTATCTACCAAATTCTTTTTGGGAAAAAGGCTAATCAGCTTATATGATCATAACATTTATGATATTACTGCTCTTAGGTTACTAATGATTATATGAACCAGCAAGGTAGCAACTTAGCACAATAGATTACAAGCACACTGTTCTATGTTTCACTAAAACAAAATTGAAAAGAGATGCACATATAGTAGTACTGAACAGATATTCCAGAAAGCTTTGAGATAGAATTCATCTTAAAAAGCAGGCAAAAAATTGAAACTAACAAACAGCAGAACCCAATGGGTAAACAACCTTCTAATGCATCCAAATTTACTTTGACTAACCCAATTTCTGAATTTGGTGAGTCCATAATTATTGTTGATCTGGTAAGTTATTTATCACAACAGGTCATAAACGAGGGCCAGGCTAAAACTAAAACATACATCAAATCTACAATTCCACACATGACAACTAGTCAAAAGTTCCAAGTTCTATACCCGAATAATGGATGCTGGGCATTTAAGATGCAGTTCCTGACTCACTAAACGTGTCCTGCACTCTTTTTTTCTCATAAATAGAAATTCTAGATCATAACCGAATTCAGATTCCAAAAAAAAAAAAAAAGCCTTGGTCAATTAACTATTGAGCAAAAACCTGATTATAGTGTTAATAAAACGGTCATACACCCAGAAGTCAATTTACATTATAGATACATCTTCCATACATCATGCCTAGTAAAAAACTTTAATGTGTAATATTTGAGAAAAATTGCATTTTCAGCAACAAAAGAACAAAAAGTTACATATTCTTGAAGCTCGATAAGATCTAAATCCCTCATTTGGACTAAACCAGGAAAATTCTAGCCTTGTGGATTTATCGTTTCATTACATTTACTCAACACCGTGTAACTTATAAAGAAACATATACCACGTTAGTCTTCGCTCACAATTCTTTCTTATTCACCAATCATGTAAATGAAACATCACGAAAAGCAAAAAGAAACATATACCGCATTAGACTTCTTTCTTATTCAGCAATCAAGTAATCATGCAGATAAAACATCAAGAGAAGCAAGAAGAAGCATATGTTGCATTAGAAACATCAAGAGAAGCAAGAAGAAAAATATATTGCTTTAGTCTTCGACCGGACTCTTTCCTATTCAGCAAATCATGCATGTAAAACATCAAGACAAGCAAGAAGAAACGTATATTGTGCTACTCTTTATTCAAAATTCTTTCCTATTCAACAATCACGTACATGAAACAACCAAAAGAAGCAAGAACAACAGAAACGAACCTTGTTCAGTACGAACATCAAGAAAAGTACGCGAGTGGTTGACCTCGCTGATAGAGGAAGACTTCTTGTCCTCGTCTTGAGCGGAACTGGTGGCGACAATAGTCTTCTGAGCGGACTCCACATCCTGAAGCATCTTAGACATTGCTTGGACCTTGAAAGAAGCGAACCTGCGCGCGCCGGATCGAAACGACAGCGAAGAAGGAGGCGAGAGGTTGAGGTTGAGAGAAGAAGAGAAAGAAGACGATAACGGAACGGAGGAAACCCTAGGCGAAGCGATTAAGAATGTGAGAGACAAAGAAGACATAGTCCGTCCTCAAGGGAGAAAGAGGATTGAGAAACTGAGGGAGAGAGCCACTGACTTCACTCTTTCTATTTATCCAAAACAGGGAACAAACAAAATGGGATTTCTTCCAGTGGAGGCAAGGCAAATTGATAAAATACTTTAGCTACAATTGCCCTGCTCTATTTATAGATCACCCACCGTTAAAGATTTCAAAAAGATTTGTGATCAAATCTGAACCGTTGATTATTATTTTTATAAAGATTCTAAAATAACTAGGGTCTGTGTTTATTTCTAGAAAGGAAGATAAGGAATTTATCTTCATATTGAAAATTATAAAACTGAGACGTGGCAAGATTTTATTGGTAGGAGCATGAATAGACAAATATGCTTATCACAGTGGATACTTTCTCCTTTGGGATTT